ACTGATTCAGAATCTGCAACACTAGATGAGTTTTTTTTCTTTTTCTTTTTTTAAATTGTAGCCATCATGAAAAGTCCCACTAATGCAGGAGTAAATCACACGTAGTTGCACGTCACAATAATACAAAACATTACATTTAGAATTGCTTGGTCACCAAAATGAAAAGAAACTTCAAGTTATTTTTCATTTTTCCTTCATAACTGATTGAGCAGGTATGATGAGTTGTACCACAAAAACAAAAAATATTGCGAGATGGGAGTAGAACAGACTTCTGGAGTTTCAGAATGATTCTCCAAATATAACTAATAAGAAAATCATTTTGGAATACAGGCATAAAACAGCACTTGAAGATTCCGAATCAGTGGCATGATGAGAAACAGTGAAAGTTTCGGGCTGTAATCTTTATCAGTTCCTGAGATCGTGTAATTCAAACTCAACCTCATTTTTAAGCTGCTTTTGAGCAACTCATTTGAATGCATCTGTGTGCAAGTGATTTTAAAGACAATTATTAAATAATGGCAGATAGAGAGCTGAAAGAACGCATCTTGTGATATTGTGATAAGTTTTTTTCAAATATCAAACAATGTTTTCTGAAAAATAATAAATCCCAAAAAAGACGAGTTGTCTGCATTACAGCTCATTAACTTTGAACTCCTTTTCTCAGCTTTTCTGGAGTACTGTTCTCCATTTGAATGACAGCTGTTGAATTCGAGGGCCAAGAAATCTGATACTCTACATGAATGCAGGTTTGTTCCTGTCTTAACAACAGAGCTTAAGCTGGGGAATTTCTACTTCTGTTTCCTGATGAATAAGAGCCTGTCAGTTCAGCCCCTATCAGCTGATAAGATCTCACTGTTGACGTATTTTTAGCATAAGAGATGCAATAGAGATGAAAATATGTTGCTTTTGCATGGCTTAAATAAGTTACGCACATTGCATATATTGTTATTTGCTTTCATAAAGTTTGTGGTTTTACTTGTGTTGCATCTTAGTTTGCATTTCTCTTGCTTGCTCTCTTGTCTGTCAGTTCAGTTGCACCCGTGCAGAACAAAAGTAGGCGGTGTTTTTGGTTCTGTCACTGTTTAAATATTAGGGTTCGTGCCACAAAGCTCTGTGCCTGTCTGAGGGTTCTGGGACCTCTGACTCCTTCTCCCAGATACCTAGAGCCGAGCCCCTCATGTTTTTGGTCCTCAACTAATGTAGCAGCGAAGAGCTTAATGTGGAACATCAGAGGAAGGGACAGATTATGTTGCTGCACGTTGAAAGACACAAACAGCACATACATGTCTTACAGGCTAATTTTTAGCAAGCCGAGCAGTTTCCGGTGCTTCAGATTTTATTAGCCTACACTTCTTTTATCACACAGTACTTCATGTTGATGCATGTGAACACATCATCAGTGATGCTTGTTTGGAGGTCATTGTGTGTTTTCTGTCTTTCAACATCACACATTGTCACCCAGGCGACCATGTGTTGAGGAAGCCAGGAGATATCCACCCACCACCCATGTAGGTAATTTACACAATATATGAAACTATCTGTCAAAATACAGCTCTTAATGTGACTCAGGCAGATCTAAATGTCAGTCTTACCGTACTGTTCTTCAGTTTCACTGAGTGAGATTCTGGATTCTGCAGACCCTTAGTCATTCAGGTCATGCTAATCCAAGGAAATCCAAGCATTTGAAACTTCCAACCAGTCAGTTAGAACTGAAGAAGCCTCTTGGATTTTAGCACCACACACTGGGAATTTATTACATCTTTATTTTAACATGTGTGTCAAAACAAAAATATTGCTGTGATTTAGGTTTAGCTGTGGATTCATTTGAAGCTCTTGTACAGACTCTTAAAGATTGCATGGATGAAACCTACTTTAAAGAGGAAGCAAATGGTACAAATGACCACTGAACACTGAAGACTGAACCAGAATCTGCAGCCAAAGGAAAGAAACTACAGTCTGGATGGACACAGTGTGATGTCTATGTGGGGGTTCTGAGCTGAACAAGTACACTTTGGACATTAGAGTCTTCCATATACTTATCCATCATAATTTGGATTGTCATCATTCTTATTAGCCTCATCAATAATAATTTTTGGGCTGCAAGGTGGAACAGTTGTTAGCACCANCACATAGAAAATAGAACAATGAATGGTTTGCTGTACCTGACACATAGTTTTAACTCAGCTGGAGCCTGACTATAACCTTGTAGCTTATGATAAAATACTACAACTACTGTAAAAAAAAAAACATGTGTTTCCAACACATCAGACTCACCATAAGTCCAGTTGTTTGGTGCAGTCAAGAATCCACTGAAGTTATGAGGAACAACAAAACACCTCTTCTGGCCTTCGACACACCTTGGATTGGCTCCCTGTGTGTTGTTGTTACTACCATTGCCTCTCACAAGATCTTAATAAAATCATATAACAAGTTAAACAGAAATAGTGTATTTGACATGCTAATGACCACTAAAAATCTTAAGGCTTTCCCACTTCTTGATTTATCTCTTCAGAAAGTGTAAGTTGTTCTTATCAAGCTACTTGGAGATTGTGTCTACTTACAAAAAGGACAAAACCACAGAAGGCCCACCAACAACACCCAATCCATCATGCTCTGCTGTTTCATGTTGTTTCAGTCTTGGTCAGGATGTGTGATCCATTCACTGATGTAGTAAATTACATTATTCGTTTTGCTCCAAAGTACTTTATCTGCAAAGCATGCACCAAAAATAAATCAATCTTACCTTTCTCTGGTTGAAGTCAAAGCAGAAGTTAACAAGAGCGACTGAAGCTTTTGGTCAGATGTTTGCAAACACGTTACTGTTGCAGATACTTTGTCTTGCAAATTCACAGCTTCTGAATATGTCATAGGACTGAATATGGTGCACTTATATGCAAAAGAGGTTCCTTGTTGTGCTTTAAAGCATGTTCAGTGGTGATACAGTAAAATTCAAGGAATGAATGGTTGGTTGTTTTAGTGTTGCAGCTTGTTTAGACAGCAGTATCTTCCACTTAAAGGAGAACATCATGTGTTTTCCAAGACTGTTTTCTCAGACAAGAATTCTAACCCCGTATAATATTTCTAAGGTAAAGTAAATGGTAAATATTGTAGAACAAAATACAAGCACTAAAGGATATTTACAGTCCAATTTGATATTAAAACCAGTCACTTTTAACTGCCTTTGGAAATGGATTTTCTAAAAAAAATCTGCTTTTAAAACAATTTCACATTTTGTTGACTGTCTTTGGTGTCTGAAGTCCCCACTAATGTTGGTCTTTCCATCTGCAATGATTATGTTTTTTTAAAAACAATTTTTGTTTGACTGTTGCCTCGCAGCAAGAAGGTTGCCGGTTCG